TATTGTTTCCTTGCTTTGTTACTGCAGTAATCAAAATGGAATTCTAACAGAAAAGTCTCAGTCATTAAAAAGTTTCTTAAACCTATTCTTCTTCCACAAGTTTTCTCTCAATTTTATATCTACTTTGTTCATTTACAGCCTGTATGAAGGGGTTAGCAAGCCTAAATTTAGATGTCTAAGTGTCCAAGCTTCACTGTAGTTAATGCATGTATCTCCAATAAGTCAGTGGAGCCAGGAGAGCAATTCTTATCCTAAGTGGACATACTCTGGCTGGTCACCTGGGAGACACCTAGCCTCTCATGACTTCTTTATTGACAAAGTCACTGCTGACATAGCTGTGAAGACTTGCTGTATTTAACTGTATTTAAACTTCTAATTTAATTCATGAAAAAAAGAGTGTAACACAGCCAGAATCTGTGCATGCTGTGCCATAATCTATGAAAGTCTGTACAGTTAAAACGTGATTGCTGTGTAGTTACCGTTACCAATTACCAGGGCAAGATAGAATGTCTCTTAATTAACTTAATAACCTGATAGGTACATTTAGACAGAGCTAATTAGGACTTTCTTGTAATTGGGCCTATGATTAATAGACTGTGAAGACTGTTTCATTTGTATTAAATGCATGGACACTTACAAGAAAATTAAAATTTGAGCCTTCATTGAATAACTAATAGAGGACTTCAGGATAGCACAATAGTGAAAGATATAAAGAATTCTTTATAAATTATTATTTATAAATTCTGTATATTTCTTATAAATAATTAATATATTAAACTACTACTTTAGACCTGGTATTTTTTTCAAGATCTTTTACAGCCTCATTACATGTGCATGAATCTCTCTTGGAAATATCCACAAATGAACTTTTGAAGTGTTTTTCTTTTAAAGAGTCTAAGTAACATAGTTCAATAAAACTAGTGAATGTAGAAGCATATGAAGATACCTTTACAGGGCATGAAGAAAGAAGAACTGATTTGTGTAGTGCAAGGTAAAATCCTTGAAGCAGTTAAATGAAAGAGCTTATATCACTTTGCTGTTCTTTCTCACTCTGCCTTCAGACAAGGCAGAGCCTAATTTGGGGCAATACAATTGGGAAACAGCAGAAACTGATGTATTCATCTGAGTGCTCTAGTCTGTAGTAACCATGGAAGTTTCCTTTGGCCCCTTTTCTGTGCTCCAGTGTGTCTTGAGGGTGCACAGGGAATTCATAATCACTGACTTCTGAACGGCCTCTTCAGTTGTTACACAGCTGGGAAGAAGAGACTGTGTGGAGTCCACTGATAGAAAAGACAAAAGGACATAGAGTGAAAGGAAGACATACCAGTAGAAAGAAGATAGGAGGAGAGAGATTATGGGTAGTGAACAGTTTATTTGGCAGCATGGAGACCAAATCTGCCATGGCTTTTTATTTGTTGTTATAAAGCACATTGTGCACAAAACAAAAGACTTGCCTTATTTGAATTTTAGAAAACTTAGAAATTTGAGCTAGAAATGTGAAAAGCATAATTAATATTTTTAAGAGACTTGTCTTTATGTATCCTGCATTTCTGTTTTTATGAAGAGTTGAAACTTACCTGATGATTTGTTCATGAAAAAATGAATCTCAGTTTCAGTGATTTTTGTGCTGTTAATGCAGAGGCGTCTTCAGTGAGACTAGTTGGTCTTTTCCCTTTTCTTTTTCTTGTGAAACCTTGCCTACTTAGCACACTGTGAGTCAGATCAGACTGCTGCTCACCAAAAAGGAATTTTATTTTTGTACCTTGTACGCTTCAGTTTTTCTTATTTAATGCATTCACTTTTGTCATCTTTTTTTTTTTTAAAAAAGGCATTTCAAACGTGTGAAAGTATATTTAGAGTGCCATGTAGTATGTTATTCCTACTGTCTATTAAGATGTCACCTGAGCAACAGATGAGATCATCAAATAAGCTTTGGATCATTGAATCAGAAATTTAAATTAGTTAGTTTTGCTAGAGAATGGTGCTAGAATGAGAATACACTTTAGATGACATTCCTGATCTGTAATATCTTTTCACCTCCAGAGAAACGTGTGTGTGAGTGCTCACATTGTACAGTTAATGTTGGTGTGAAGCTTTGTGCTTTTTTTTTGTTGGGTGGCTTGGGTTTGGTTTTATTTTAGTTTTTCTTGCCCCTCAAACCCTTCCACCTGATGGCACAGCCAAGCAACTGAACACAGGCAGCTAGCATATTTCCATGTAATTGCCAATTTGCTGGGAATGACAAAAGTCTCAAAGGAAACATGAACTTGAAGAGCAGAGGTTGAGAGCTGAGCAGATGGAGTTGTGTCCCTCGATGAACTGGGTATCAGAAACTGGTAGTAGGAAAAAGGCAGTGAGTGTCATGGAGCTGTGATCATATTTCTGGGACGTCTCTGACAGTGTGTGAGGCAGAAGGATATGGAAGAGAGATAACACCTTCAGCATGTGAATGTGAATTTACACAGAGTATATGTCTGAAGCCATTGTTATTGGAGTGGAGGTGTTCTTTGCCCCTTGTCCACAGTTCAGGAACTCCATGGAAAGTGGTAAATTTGAGACTGCTTCCAAACTGTGCTTGAAGCAGCTTGAGAAGCAGATTCCTAAAAATTTATTTTCTCCCAATTTGCAGTGGAATACTTGTAGCAAAGTGCTTTGTCTTCCTTAAATGGCCGATTTTGTAACCTGAGTTGCATTTATGTTAATTTTAAGTTGCCATTTTCTTTTAATGACACTCTGAGGGTGCTTGTGGCAAATTAGTTTGAGGCTTATTACACAAATAAGTATTTTTTTTTCTGAACTTCACACTCTTCAGTTTATGAGGATTTCAACAATGTTAAATATTTTTTTCTTTTTTTTTTTTACTTTAGGTATACAGGATTGGTGCAACACATTTGTTATTCCAGATAAAAGTAGCCTCTCTCTACAGTTCTTTTAAATTTTCTAGCTGCTGTCTCAGGATGGGATGATTATTATCTGAGACAGCACAGACCTCTATATCACTCAAGTCTTATTATCAGTATAACAGTAGGTACAAAAAGTGGTCCTTTTTAATAGGATCTAATTACACATCACCTTGATCTTTAGGTTTATTGCTACATCTCAGAAGAGGTAAGGAATCCTGTAATCAGTTTTATTAGATATGTTTCTTTTACCTAAAGACCATTTCTTCTTGCTACAGGCAACTCAGTTATGGCAACAATCAAGAATTTCTCTTATATTGATAGGTAGCCATTATAAAATTTCTCTTTTTTCTGTATTACCTTTTTCAATATTACGTTAATATCGCAATGTATCTTAAGAAAAAAAAAAATCAAACTGTGATTCTGAGAAATTTAAATTTCAAGTCAGCTTGGTAACAAGTAACAATAACAGATTGGCACTTTTCCTTTGGTAATAGAATCCTCTGCAGTGGAATTACTACAGCTATTGTGGTCCATTATAAGCATTAGATTACAACTTTCCATTGTCACTAATTCTGCATTTTGGCAGGGAAAAGAATAAAAATTTGCTGTTAGTGTTGCCAAGCAACTAAAATATGAATTACTCCAATTTCTGAATTTTTATTGTATGTTGTATATCGGAAGGTTTCTCGTACCTTGGTAAGAGGCAGTCTAGATGAAGTTAGACTCCATAGCTTCAACAATTATAAGATTAGTAAGTAGCTTAATTTCTCCCTATGGAGTTCCAGTTCAAAACCAAGCACACAGGGTTTTTCATTTCACTGTGGATAAGTATCAAAAATTACATCAGAGAAGATTGTGTCTTCACAAGCCATGTTGGGCATATTTTTTCCATTTTGTGGACAAAGAGAACTTGCTGTGCCTTAATAATCCTGTGTGCAATTATTCATGTTTACTTCTATTTGGTATACTTCCTCTGAAGTATCTTTTCCCAACACACTTAACTGATGGTAATGCTAAGTAACTACTGACATTTGAAAGATTTTTTATTAAATGAAAGTGTGTGGAAAAGATGAAGTGGGGATAGACTTAAGTGGGTATAAATTGTGTTAAGGTTTATGCTTGGGGATAGGTGAAGAGAGAATATATGAATAATTTAGTTGTTTTGGGAGGGTTTTTTTGTTTGTTTTTTTTGTTTGTTATTATTTTGTTCTCATTTTGCTGTACATTCCTGTAGTTTTTTACTCTGTGGAGCTTTTTTCATTTTGCAGCAGTAGCCACAGATCTTCTGTAGAACTACATGGGTTTCAGGGTCACCTCACCTGCCCTGAGTCATTAATTTCCTCTCAGACCACAAGCGCAGAGCAGAGTCACAGCTTCTTTCTGGATTCCTAATGTGTTATATGCCTGGGAAGCCAGAAAGCACCTCAGCAGCAATAATGGTGTTTCTTTTTCTGCAGACCTGCACAGCCAAGGTGCAGACCAGCAACTGGATAATACCAGTGGGTGGCATAGAAGACACTTTCCTGTTGACATTGGCTTTGTATCTGTGTCTGCAAAAGTGTAATAAAAAATTTGTTTATTTCTACTATAGTACCTTTGAGGACTTGCTTTAAAAACCATCTACCTTTTTGATTAGACATTGGAGTTCCCAGATATGAATGCATATTTGAACCAGACAATTGATCTAGTCTAGATGAGATGAAAAAATCTCAAACTTTTCTGACACTCCAGTTTCCAATAAGAAACTTGGGTGTATTGGTCAGAGAAGAGCTACTTGCAGCTCTGAAGAGGTGCTGGTTCTGAGTGGATAAATGGACAGTATTATTATTTGGGGTAAATACGAACAGGTAGTAGAGTTTGGCTTTTTTAACCTATGTTCCAGTGGATAAGAGCTTGTATAGGCTGAGAACACTTCACATTACGAGCACCTCATAGGACAGAGCTAGCAGTAGTTTGAGGAGGTTGATGTTCCAGCTGTTTTCTTCAAATGTGAAAACAAATCTTTCCATTATAAATGCTTGCTTTCTTTTGGTAATTACAGGATTAGTTTAGGTGCAATATCTCACTAATTTTTTGTTTTGGTTTAATTTTCTAAAGGAGTTGATGACCAAACTGATAACAGAGACACCTGACCAGCCAATCCCATTTCTAATTGATCATCTTCAGTCCAAGCAGGGAAACCGTGGTCAGCTTCAGAGGACATTGTCTGGATCTGCTGCCCTCTGGGCAGAGAGTGAAACATCAGGTATGTTCTGTGTGCTGGAAGGGGCTGGTCTCCAGTATAATGTTGCCACATTTATGTCCATGATTTCCTGGATGCAAATGTAGCTAGTGAACAGGTACTGCTTTATGGTTTTGAGCATGCAGAATAAATTCTGTTTGTCCAGCAGATATTAGAATTTTGATATACACTGCTGTCTGTCAGCTCAGCCTGTATATATATCATGGGAGTATAGATGAGGATTATATAGATCATAGTTACAGATCAGAGTTGTAGCGTGGAAACTGTCCCAGTCTCAATGAGAGAGATTCCCTTGCTGTCCTTTTCCTTTGTTTTCCTTTTCCCTCCCATAGTGTATTTGTGCCTGAGATTAACTTCTATTGAGGTATTTTTTTCAATAATACATATTTTTATATACCTATAAATATATACCAACCCTTAATGAGAAAATGCTATGCTCCTTTATAAACTTCAGTGTGAATAATTTATGATTGTAAATCTTCAGAAGCATTGAAAAAATCTTCTGAAATAGTATCTGCTCTGATTGTAAAGTAGAAGTCTTGGTTTTCTTATTCTGGTACTAGCTGCTCTTACAATATTAGTTTTGTGTTTACAAATTGGCTAATGATTTGTTTCAGACTATAGAGCTTAAATAGTTGCTGATAGCCAAAGTGTTAATTTACTGACAAATCAACCATTTATATCAAGTACACAGTTTTAACATAGGAAGTAAAACATGTACATAACATGGACCTTAAGGACTTTTTCATAACAAAAAATAGACTTTTATGGATTAAAAACATTATAATTCCTAAGTTTTGATACTTAAAAAGTGGAATAAATAAAATTAATATAAAAGAAATCAGAAATAAGAGGGGAGAAAAAAGAGCTGTCTGTAATTTGGATTGATATACCTTGGGTTTTTTTTTGATTAATTATTTGTTAAGTCTTTGAAAAACGATCCTACAAATGTTATGATTATCTAACTTGATTCTTTTAACAGAAAATAAAGGAGCAAGAAGAGATTTTAGAAGTTATGATAAACCTTGGCAGGTAAATGCAAAAAAGCCTAAAAAGTCAAAGAGCGACCTTGCTGTGTCCAACATTTCTCCACCGTCACCGGAGTCCAAGTCATGTAAGAAAGTTTCACTACATTAGTAATTTGTGCATAGTTTCCAACCTGTGGTCTGTTTTTCGTTTGGATAAGGTTTAAAATGGAAAGCAAACTGTGAGCAGATGAAATGTCTATATATATGTGTGTTAGAAGAGTTTGATTCTTGCCTTAATCTCACTTGAATTATGAATATTTTATAATGTCCTGTGTTGTCATCCGTAGATAGAAAAGAATTCTAGATAGATTGATTAAAAACCAAACTAATATATGGGTGTCATGCACTAACTGTTTTGTGTTTGGATACTTATTATAGTTTGATGTTTTAATTTGCATTGCCGTTTTGCACATGTAAAATCTGTTCTGTTGATATTGGTCCTAATAGATTTTTTTGTGTGTGTCAGGCAATTCAAAACTATGCATTATAAACAGATACTGTTCAAGGTATGGGAGTAGTGTCAGCAGAACAGGTGTGCCATTCTGAGAATTGCTGAAGGAATCTAAATGTACACTAAAAGAAAAGGCGGAGTAGAAATAGAACATCTGAAGAGAATATTGTCAGCTACCTGTAAAAAATTAGTGAAAATGAAGACAATAAGCCTTAATGAGATATGCTTCCTAGGTACTGGCTATTGAAGAGATCTAATTTTTAAGCTTGATTCTTAATGTTGGGGTTTTTTCACTAATAAATATATCTACAATATGCATACATATATAAATATAGTTATGCATGCAGGGAATTGTTTGTACAAGATTTTTCTCCAAAATAAATTGAAAAATGATATTTATTTCTATTGACTCTTGTAGCTTTTTGATATTTTTATAATAGCCAAATCTTTATAACTCTGAGTGTGACTAGGTGTACCAGATGAGAACAGAGATATAGTATGCTGCATTAGAAAATTCATTGTCTTTCTTCTAAAATCAAGATGGGAAAGTCTAGACTTCAAAGGAATCAAAGGAATATTGCCTAGTGACCTCACTAAGTCAAAGTAGTACACAGCAATAGGTAAAGTAAATCATGATAAATTTATGCAATATAAATACTGTGCTTTTGAGTGATTAATAGTCTTGTATGTTTATGAAACATTCTTTGCTGAGAATAAATAACAGCAAAAAGTAAAAATGGATGTTAGAAGTAGCTTTGTCCCATTGTACAGGATTTTCTCAGGATTGTTTTTTTCTAGAAATGGAACATTTATCTGTTTCATCTTCATGAAGCATATTCCCTGCTTCAAAAACACTCAAATTTGATCATAAATTCCACTATACCTCTCAATGGGCACATGAGTTTTTAAAGTCTGTTCAAAAGAAGCATGTGGATTTTAATTTATTTTTGAGAATAAATAGAGACATTCAAATAAATGCTTATAGTCACTCAATCTGCAAATCTCAAGATTTGCTGGATAACAGCAATTTATAGATATCCACTGTTAGAAACAGTGGCCAAAAGGTATTGTGAGATGTTCCTGTCATCATACTGTGTTCCTTCCTTCTGCCCTGTGCTTGCTTTTCAGACTCTGTGGTATGTCTCAAATAGCTTTCATGACATCTCCTAAAGATCTTGAGTTCTCTGTCTTTATCCCAGATGGGGGGTGACATCACATCACTCCCCTCAAATGTGTGCCTACTACACGTTTTGTGCATGTTGGTCCTTAGGTTGTCACATTAGAGGGACAAAGAGGAGGTTAGGCATTCTAAAGTGTCAGGTCTCATTTCAAACAAGGAAATATTTTATACATCCATAAGATGGCTGGGGTCAAGGATCTGTCCTTATGGACTAAAGGACACTTAGTAATACTCTTCAATTGGTAAGACTTACTCTCAAGCTACCCAAGTCTAGAAACAGCGGGTGGGAGTGCAGCTTTGCGTGCAAAAGTGATAGAATTGGGGTGTTCTTAGTGCAGCCATGTAGTCATAAATACATGGCACTACATGGGATTGATTCTAGGTGTGCTGAAAGAGGAGACTAATATCATTTTGAGGCCATTCTGTCATCACTGAAAGGTCATAATGATTGTGGGATGCTCCTGATGATTAGAAAAATGCAAATACCTCATTGATTTTGAGGAAGGGCAGTCTGATCAGCCTAACCTCACCCTCTGCAAGGATTATTGAACAAACTTTCCTGGAAGGTGTTCCTAGTCACAGGGAGGAAAATATGATTTGGAACATCAAGCATGGATTTATGAGACCCTATATGTCTGACCAGATCAACACAGTTGTCCTCTTAGGTGAAATAACTGGCCCTGCATCCAAAGAAACAGCAATGGATGTTTCATACCATGACTTTAACAAAACCTTTGTCAGCTTCCTGTAGTACCCTTATGACTCAATTGATAAGATCAACTCACTAAGTGATGTATGATCTGACTAAGATGATGTATGTAAAGTTGACTCAGCTGGTGGATTCAAGGGATTGTGACTAGCAGTGCAAAGTCCAGTTGGAAGGTCTGTCTTTAATGGCATGCTCAAGGGACTGGTACTGAGATTGATGCCATTTAGGAGAATTTCCTAATGCCTTGGATGATGGGGTAGTATTTCTCTCAGATTTGTAGGTGAGACCAAATTGTGGGAAGTGATTGGTATTCTGGATAGTAGGACTGCTATTCAGAGGGATAGGACCAAGGAATGGGCTGAGAGGAGCCTCTTGAAGTTCAACACAGGCAAATTCAAAATGCTACATCATGGATAGAATAACCCTGAGCAGCAGTATAAACTGGGATGTGTGTGTCTAGAAAGTAGCTTCTCAGAAAAAGATGTGGGATGCTGATGGACAAGGACTTAGAATACAAACCAGCTGTGGTTATGTGCTCATGCAGTGCAGAAGGTGACCTGCATACCAGACTGCAGTAGCAAGAGTAGAGCCAGCAGTGTTTGTTTTTGAGGTGGCATCTGAAGTACATTGTGAGAAACAGTGGTGTACTGGAGCAAGTCCTGTGGAGGTCCACCAAGATGATGACAGGGTTGGAACATGTGATGGATAAGAAAAAGCTGAAGGAAATTGGTTTGGTCATACTGAAGAAATGAAAGCTCAGGAGAGATTTCATTATTACCATCAACTAATATGCTGGAGGATGGATGAGAAGGCATTGGATGGGTCAGATTTGTCAATAGTGTTTAGTGAAAGGATAAGAGGAAACAAAAATTATACTGCAAGGGCAGTCAAACAGTGGAACAGGTTGTCCAGAGAACCTGTGGAATTGCCATCACAGGGTATATTTAAAACTGAACTGAATAGTCTGAGCAACTTGCCCTCAATGGACCAGTCTCGGGCACCAGGTCGGTCTAGAAGAGGTCCTTTCCAGCCTAATTGTCCTCTGCTTCCATGCTTTGTTGTTTATGCACTTCTGTTTTTTTTTTTTTCCATAACACTGATTTATTTAAATTTTAATTAATCCTATTGTTTTCCTTACTTACACCTGCAATTAGTTATGTCTACAATATTTTGAAAATACTTTGTGTATTTGAACTACATTTTGTTTTAGTTGCTATCAGAGAGGTTGGTTTCAGACATGTGCCTTTTTACCATATCTTGTTTCTCTTACTTTTTGCTAAATAGTTTAATATTCTTATATTACTCTCTATATATAGATATAATCTGTATATATAGATTAATTTTCTAAGTGTTCTTTTGACATTTCTTTCCTTTTGGTTTATGCCAAAATCAGCAGTACCATGTACCCCTTCAACTACACAGATGAGCAAGAATGTTTAGAAGGAATGTGCACACTATATTCCATTTGTTTTGTGCCTTCAGCTTCTACCTCTTGCACTTTTTTTTTCCCAAAGCATCTCCAAAGAGGTAGTAAGGACTCATCTGAGAAATAGAAAGTCTTGGACCAGCTGAGACCTAAAGATTTACTCTCAGATTTGTGTTTAAAAGAAAATAACAAATCCCCACACTCAAAAATCTAAAAAGCATCCCCAAACTGCCAAAACAAACCCAAAATTTAATGGAGTCGATCAGTTCTATTATGTTCTGTTTCAGACTTGGTGTCTTGTGACTGTCTGGTTCGAATGATCCCGTACTTGCACATTTATTCAGAACTGTCATTTAATATAAATCTTTGAGAACATGGGAGTATTTGATTTATTTAATTAGGAAATATATTTTCTCCTTCAGTAGAGTGATGTTGACTGCAGTGTGCAGGTTATTCCTGCACAAATGTCTCTTCCTTATGCTTTCAACTTTTTTACTGGAAAAATTCCTCCACTCTCGCCTGCCTATTATGATCTCAGGTGCACCTGGAGCACACAAACAAGTGTTAATATCTAAGCCATCTGACCACTTGTTTGGTGTATGCAAAACCAGAGTTAAGCAGAAGCTGCTGTTGTCTGGCAAGGAAGAAGCTTGGAGCTAGGGGTGTTAGTGTGTATACAAATTAAATGTTTAAATAATCACAGTCTGTATCTGAAGAAAAACAAATTTGGAAATTTCAAACTAGTTTGTGAAACAGAATTTTGTTTCCCAGCTAGCTACTTTTAGGCAAAGTAGGTTGATCTCTTCACCACCTCCATATTAAATCAGATCACAGATTATCCTTTCATGCTGCTTCATTTCAGCATTCTCATCACATCCCACATGCAAGTACAATGTTGTGTGCTTCTAGTTGCTCTTGGTCAGTCTAGGACTGTAGGCCGTCATTCTTTTAGCCTTTTAATATCCAGATACTATGTTGTCGTGGTTTTAAAGCAGTAACTAAAAGACATATGTAAACCAGTTTGGATTTATCACCAAAGAATTCAAATCTGAGTGCTATTACTAGATTTAAATTCATGAGTAATTTTGCGCTCAATTGTATTATACATATTTTTGTTCTTTGAGATGTAAGATGGTCATAAAATGCATTAATGAAATGTTGGATTTAATGAGCAACTGGTCTGATTTTGTCTGCAAATCATGCATTGAAAAGTCTTGTATGGGTAGACAAAACCAGTACTGATCTTGAACCATCATCCAGTAGAAAATAAAGGTGTGCTGATTTGTGGCAGAATTCATAACACTATTATGAATTAATCTAATGTGTTTTTATGGTCAGGGCACACCACCAAAAAATCAGAAATACAGGCAACTGTATCTGTCCAGTCTCCTAAGAGGAGATGATGAATTCCCAGTTCCATAAAGGGAAGCTCTACATCGTTCAATACAAATGCTACAATGTAGATGTAATAAATCTGAATTGTAGGCAAATAATTTCAAGAGGAAGTGTTAAATAAATCTTTCAAATAACAAAGATGAGGTTGAGATGAGTAATGTGATAAGAGATTTGAAATTACTGATAAGATTTTGTGGAATGAGTGAGCATAATAAAGATGAAGGTCAGAGTATAATGAAAGGATTTTGCTAAGTGTGTAGTGACACAGGCATGTAAATGATTAATGACGGACTTCATGCATAGAGAGGAGGATCACATATTTGAAAATATTCCTAAGGAGGGTCATATGGTATTTGTACAGTTCTGAATGCTTCCAATTTCCATTCATTTGAAAATTACCAGGGCTTGTTGATCCCACAGCTGAGAAGATACAAGTTTATATTCTGAAAAAAATCTGTAAGCAAGAAGAAAATGAACTTGAAAGAACAAGCATGTGCCACATGATGCTAGTAAATAGATATTGTTTTAGTATCCATTCATTATTTGAAAGACTGGGTAAGTAGGAAGAACTACATCTTCTCTAGAAGTAATACAAAATTTTAGTCAGTTCAAATTTTGTTGAACTTCCCCCTCTGTTTTGATTTCTCAGAATGAGACAAATCCTTGCTGAAACAAATTGTTTTGAAACATAGAAATAATTCATGACAGCATATCTATTTTAGTACCTTTTCACTGAAGTATAGAATGGCTCAGTAGAACACAGCTGATTGTACACCAGCATGAAAAGCAAATTTCCACCATGCCTTTGACTGATTTCCCACTATCCATCTAATGAGCTGCAGTCCAAGCTTCCTGTGTTTGTCAGACATTTCTCTGAAATTAGCAGCCAGGTCACTGTCTTGAGCAAGTGTCCCTACTTTTCAACAAGAGTCTTGAGACTTTCTTTTTCACCTGATGTGAGTTGATCCATATACTTGGCAGTTGCTGATCCTAGAAGCTCCACAACTGTCAAGTAGAACTTATATTTAGTTCATCCAGCTTCTGTCCCATGACAAATTTTGCTTCAAAATTGTATGGTTTAATTTGAAAAATTGGTTTTGTTTCAAACTGACCTGGTATCAAATTCCGGCTTGTGGAAATTTTCTGCAGCCTGGAAGCTCCAAGGTTCAGTTAGCTTTTTATATGGTTTTACTATATTAAGTTGTTGCCTGTTTGTATTCTGGTGGTACTGTGAGATTTTTTTGATGTGCTAAGTTCAGCATAAACATAGAAAGAAAAGTCTGTCATACTGCTAGTGAGTGATGCCGTAGAATATAGCATTAGCACACAGAAGGGTGATGGTAAGATGACTGCAAAAGGCCTCAAAAGGAGCATGTGACCTCAATGTAAAACAAAGGTGGGTGAAAATAGAGAGAACTCTTTATAGAATTTATTTTCTAGTTTATTAAAAATTTATATTCACAGTTAGCAATAGTTTTGAAAAATAGTAGGTGGAACATTTTGTTTTCTGTAAGTAAGAAAAAAAAGGATGAAAAATGCTGAAGTTGTGCTGTTTAATTTGTACATGCTACAGTCTGTGAATGGAGTCAATTTTTGTTGCACAAGAATTTATGTAACTTTGGACTTAGCAGTTCTTAAACCAGGGAATTATAAAATAGTGTTTGAAATTTTTAAGTATCAACAGAAATTACAAGCTGATCATCTGAGTAAAGACTGCACATGTTCCAATACCTTAAAGCCTGTATGTATTTACTGGGAGCCACTGTAATTCATTATTTCCATTGTCCTGAGAAGGAAATATATTACTTGCCTTTTTTAAGCACAGAGCAGAACAAGACTCTGACATTCCAACTTGCTTCTCTCTTCCCTTCTCCTTATTGAGGGTTCTTGTGTCCCTTTCCTTCAATTCTTATCTCTGTAGGTCTTTTTAAATGTCTCTTTTGTCTTCTGTCTTTGAGATTGTCTGTAATTGCAGTCTAATGTATTAACTTCCTTAATAGCCAGGTTCCAGGTTCTGGGTGCTACAGATCAGGATATACTCTGGATTGTCAGACTCTATAGATATCTGTTTTGAAGATGAGTTGGTTTTTGGAGTTGGTGCAAGAGGTAGAATCATGTAATTTGTGAAAGAAAGACTTGAACATAACTTTGTCCCATTACTTTACCTGGAAAAGGTGACTATTGACTTAACTCTATAAGGGAAAGTTGAAGTTGATGCAAAGTGGAGCAGATTCTATTTTCACACAGGGAAGTCAGCATTAAGGCAAATTTCAATACCTAGTTATTTAAAACATTTTGTAATAGCTATCAGACTTGATGTCTGAACATGATTTCCTCCTATCATCATAAAAGCACTCTGAAGTTCCAAATTATCACAAAACCACCTTTTTAGCACAATCTGTAGGAGTCTGTTAGTTGTCTTCTTAGCATGTAGTGAAAATGATGTTTATAAGCATACATTATTTTGACATACACTGTCAAAATAGTAAACGACAATTTTGAAGCTGGCCAGGATATATTAGATATTTTAGGCTTTTCTTTGAAGTTATTTATAAGTGAGTGGTCAGCGACTAGTAAATGGTGGTTGGTAAAAATACAACTCGTCCTTTCTGGTAAAAAGGTGGACTATACATCATCATCTTCCTACCTGTATGAATGTAATGCTGTGTTTGGAGAAAACCCAACTGTTGAATTTCATGGCAAAACAGAAGCTCACTTACTTCTGAACACTGGCAAAAAGAACATGTTAAACTGCAGTTCTAGAAACAGCACTGTTTTTGTTTTCATTTCTACAAATTGTTCAAAATGTTCACATTGTTCAGTGAAGCTCTGTTCATTGTGTGTTCTGCATATCTCAGACACTCCTCTTCGTTGTAGGTAAACTTAGCAATTGAGATAGTGTTATTTCAAAATTAAAGGCTTTGGTAATAGATAATGAGCTCAGGTGTGTGCTTCCCAAAGGAGAGTTTGTTTAGGTAGTGAAATGAAGATTAGAGGCTGTACAACTTGAATGATAAGGACTTACTTTGTTTCACTGTTTTTTATGAAATGTGTTATCTACACTTTATGATTTTTTGAAAAAGAAAAATGTTGTTTTGAAGCTGTATCTAAAATACTTTTTTTGATTCTTGATAAAATAACTAGGAAAGCCAGAAGTACCAGTTACTCATTTTTGTTTTGACGTTTTTTCTTATTGACCCTTAGGCCACACAATTCTATTTTGTTGTAAATGAAATACCATCATGTGCAATAGTTTAAATACATTTTTTAAATTGCATTAGTAATAATTCAATTATTAAATGTTAATTATCTTGTTTACCAATTCATTCAGTTGCAAGAATAATTCAGTTATGCATTTGTTCATAGATACTTTTACTTCACATTGACCAAAGGAAGTATTTCCAGCAGTTAAAGTAAAGGATAGTTAAGTAATTTCCACCGAAGATACTTGAGCTTGTAAATTCACTGTGCAGATTTTTTTCTACTGTAGGAGTGTGCAGTACCAAATCTAAACTTCATCTATATATCTGTGTATATTTAGTGCCAAGGTCAATAGAGCATCCTAAATGGGATTGGAAGACAAAACCGGAGAACCATGATTTTGATGAACTAAATCATATTCTTCAAGAGAGCAAAAAGCTTGGAAAAGCCCTTGAGAATCTGTCTCGCAGTAAGTTGTTTGATTTTAGTTTCTTAATGTAACCATGCGGCCTGAATTGTAATTTAGAAGTATATATTTCAGGAAAGTGGTCTTCTATTCAATGAAGACCAAGGTCATTGACATCAGCAGTTACACTCCCATTGATAAGGTATACAGATTATCTGAGATAATTCAGGAGCTCTCCTGGAAACTGAAACTACTACCCCTGCACTTCTTTTTCTTGCATTAGTTTTCTGCCAGTTTACTGAGCTGAGTTAGCTTATAAAGAGATCAACACAAGAGGCTGGTTCAATGAAAATGGTGGGAACATGCAACAGGGAGATTGCTCCTTTGTGTGGTAGTTAAATGGGATTAACCTTTGTATGACCTGTACCTCATTGATGGAGTTCAGACCTGTTATTGAAAAATATTTAGCTGTTTTGTATCCTTGATTTCTTTGACCTTCTAGTTTTCCAAAGAAATTAAAATATTTTAAAGCATCTCAAATAAATACTCAGAAACATGAGATACAGTTATTTCATAATAAACCGCATATATTATCCCGTAAACAGTATTGTAATGAATAGCTCTGAGGGTTACTGGATATAATCAGAGATAGCTGGTCTTTTTTTTTTTTTCTTTTATTTTTTTTTTTCTTTTCCTTTTGCTTTCTTTCCTGTAGAAGAGAATTCTGAAATACATTTGTGGGAGCAAATACTGCTAACAATTTTTAAAGTATGAAATGATGACAAGTTCTGTTTGCCATGCTACATGAAAACTAGATGTGGCATGATACTTGTGTGAGAAACATTTATTCCTTCTCTCATTAAGTTTTTATTCCTGGCAGTTCTTGATTCACTAGAGAATTTACAGATAGTGAGGTCAGAGACAGAGCTAAATGAGGAATGGAAGATTTGTTTAGTAATGAATTTTGAGATTTAACATTTTTCCAAATAGTACCAAATATCCAAAACTAGTTTTCCCAAATCATACTCTTCCAAATGTTTTAGGTTGATCACCACAATTATATTCTGAGCAATTTTCAAACTTGTATTATAGTGGTATAGTTATGTATATAGTTATATAGTTATATATATTTACTTTTCTAGTAAATTGGTCTATCTGCCTGTAACGAGCTAAACCAACTCTGGTCGACATCTCTTATTTGCAGCCTCACTATTGCCTGACTGTGATGGATGTGAGTGTAGGTTTCAAGCTTTTCTCCTTTAGAGACTTGTAGGGAAGGTATATACAGATACAGAAACAATTATTTTGAATTTCAGAAAGGGTTATTTAGTCACTCTCTGGAGACACAAACCAATCAGGTGTGAAAGTTCAGTGATTAATGCCTAAATCCACTCTTCAATCCTACGTCTTCGTCTTTCCTTCAGAATATTGTGAAGTTTCCACTTTTACCTAGAACAATACCTATACTTCCTTACATCTAAAACAGATTTTGCAGCATTCTGTACCTCTCCTTGCCCCACAGTTTTCTAACTGGAGTGTAAAACTTCAGCTCTTCTGGGTCCTACACTTGGACTGGTTGAATGTACCTGATCACCATTGTTGGAGGCTGTTTTTCATAGCTATTTCTTAAAACATTCTTCACTGTTTCTTGCTAGTACTTGATGCTTTCTGGTGGTTTGTCAAGATAATATGGAATTTAAATCCCATCCCCCAGAGTGCTTTAAATCACTCGCAGCATGATAATAAGTGATAATTCACTTTCATGAATGTGCTCTCTATTTCTTCATCCAGATCATTAATGGAAATATTGTCAGACCTCTTCATGATCCCATTTCAGATCTGACAACCAGCCCTTGAAAGATACTCAGTAAGTGTGTTTTTTCCCCACCAGATGTTATTCTACCTTGCAGTGTTTTCACGTAGATTGTAATTCTCTATTTTTTTTTCACTGAAGCATAATCTAGGATAGTAAACAGTGTCTAAAAGCTGGAGTATTTTGCATCTGCTTCTTCCTCTTATCCACTAGGCAAGTTTCCCAATTGAGAATGCAATTAGACTAATTTGATATGATTCGTTCTCAATAAATTCATGTTAGCTCATTCTTACCACCTTTCTTTTCCATTAGATGTTGATACATTATTTAACAGTTTTGTCTATGATTCTTGCTGTTGTCTGATTTAGTCTTGGTGGTTGGTAGTTCCCCACATCTTCTCTTTTTCTTTTAAAAAGATATGTATTTGCCCTTTTCTGTCCTCTCTGTTCCTGAAAGACAGTTGCTAATGGATTAGAGGTTTCTTCAGTTAAATGTTTTAGAGTGAGTTTCACAAGAGTCTGCTAACTTGAATGTATTTAAATCACCAACATATCTTTCAGCTTCCCTTGTCTGGCTTGCAGTTTTTCCTCTTAAAACCGCTACTGTTAAGCATCTGGCTGCAATTGATTTTTTTTTTTTTGGCAAAGACTGAAGCAGGGAAAGTATTGAACACTGGGAATTCTTTGTATCATCTCTTACTTGCTTTCCTTCTCTTTGATGTAGTAGTTCTGTATTTTAATTTATTATCCTTTTCTAGTGTATTTATAGTATCTTTTCCTATGGCTTTTTATGTTCTGTTATAGTTGTTAGTTACTCTGCACTTTAACCTTTTTTACTTGTTGGTGTAATTTAAACACTTGTATCAGATTAATTCTAAGCTGTATGCCCTTGTTTCTTGGTTTTGTACTTCTGATTTTCACTTCATTTCATAAAATTAAAAAAACCCTTTGCTATTATTTCTTAAATGTAAGCATGGTATTAAAAAATCAAAATGAAAAATGTGAAAATTTTGTAAATAGAGAAAAGGTAGAATTTTGAAAATAAATTAATTTTATTGTTCTCACAGAGATAGAATGTAGATTGCACATAGGAAATATATTAGAGGGCTTCAATTAAAAGGTCTAGGACTTTAAAAGTATAAGGTGCATGAAACTCATTCTATGCTGTACCCAAATAAACATCCCATGTGGTGAATTTTAGAAAAGCCATCACAAGATCCCATGTCTACCTCTCCTGATGCTTGTTTCAGGCAGTCTAATTAGTGCTTTTGTTTCCACAAGCATGCCATGAGTTTAGTGCTGCATTTGGTACTAATCTTATTTTGAAGTGGTGTGGGACAGACAATGGGCTCAACAGCTGAGTACACAAATAATCAAAATGTACTATTAATGGCTTTTTACAGCACCCTCTCTCTTTTTCTTCAGTATTTTAACAGTGAAGAGTGACACATGAGATGAAATATTTGAAGTTAAATTCATTTTCATCAAGTCCTGGAATTTGTTTACATTTTGAAGATAAGCTTTGGATCTTTTAGTGAATTTCCATGACTTGATTGCGTGTTAGGCAGTTGACATTAGCCTGTGAAATAAATTCTAGTTTCTATTGCTTCATTTGCTATGCAGTCTAGAAAACCTGCTTTGAGACAAACTTGTGCACTTCATGCAAGATTAGAATTGCCTGTAAGATTTGGAAGGTGAGACTCGGGCACTTAGATGTTTGGTGTCTTCTATATTCAGCCCTAGTGATAAAAACTGAACTTGGTTTTATTTGGACCCTTTCTCCCAACCCCTATCAAGAGTGAGTAATTCTGTGCTTTAGTAGGTCTTAGAAACCAAGACTTCACACTCAGAGTTAAAAGTATCTTAGGAGTTTTGAGAGTCTGGAGAAGGTTATTTTTTGTAATTATGGTCCAGTTGTGGTGAAGCTTGCTGATTTAAATACACCGTTTTTCAGAGGCTTACCCACATGGGAGAGCTGGATTTTGTTTGCTTCTTCAATCATCTGTATGTCATTGAACTGGATTTGGAGCTATCAAATCATGTGTTTAGGGAAGATTTTGGTTTATAAAGCGACTCACATGAATATTCTGCGTTTCCCTTGTGCATGTTAATTTTCTTTTATTGCAAGGTCTCCTACCTTGATTGCTGTCATCCTTCTTCCTGTTCTGATCAAAAGGAAGAAAAGTTCCATCCTGTTTCAAATGTATGCTCTTGTATTTCACCTTCTGGCCAGTTTGCCTTTAAACAGAATTAAAATCTGTACAGCTAAGGATCTTGCTAATGAATATGCCTTTGTCTTTCCCCCATTTTCTGAGGATGAAAGAATAGATAACAAGATATGGAAACCAGTGAATTATGAGAGTTTTGAATAGGGGGAAATTGAGGACTAAGTTAGTGAGATCATGCTGCAATTAGGTGAGAAGTCTGCATACTTTATGAGCAACTTTGCATCTTTTATATGAACAATTAAGGATTAGGGTGCATATTGAAAATGTTTGTATATTGAAGGTGCTGGGAACTGCATTTGATGAAAAAATATCTTCTGCTATGAGATAGATACTCTTTCATAATCACAAATAGCCTTTTAGTGAAGATAATTGACATTTTGTTAATAGTGTTTGAATGCTTGTTCCGGCCAGGTGTACGCTTCAGGTCAGAGGGGAAGAAACAAATTTATCATGCTTTGAATTCAGTTGGCATTCTAAGGCAAAAAATGGTACTAAGTTATCATTTACCAAAACTGTTTGATAATCAATCCAAGTCAGTTTCAGGTTATCCCAGAAACAATGGTATCTATGTGTAAGCAACAGGAGAAAAATCCTCTTCTGTTTCTTAATTTTGAAGGGGACTAATCAGTAAACAATCAGTAAACAAGAAAACCTTGGTTTTCCATCTAGTAGGAGATATTGCTGTAAATCATAATGAATTATAGAATCACAGAATTGTTAAGGTTGGAAGGCACCTCCAAAAGGCATCTGGTCCATCACTACTGCTCAAGCAGGCTCACTTAGAGCCAGGTGTCAAGGATCTTAAATACCTTCAAGAATGAAAGATCTCCAAGTCCCTCCAGAATATCTCAAAGAGTTATTTTTCATAATGTTAGAATCAGTTAATGTCGTTTATAGTTGTGTTAAGAAAGGCAAGCACAATCTTACCTCTTTAAGAAAAATATAAAATAGTAAAACGTAAAAGTGTATGTTCTGTTTATTTTTTACAGGGAAGATAAGCAACAAGAGTAGAAATCTCATAAC